ATGCATGCGCGCGCGCGCGCACGCACGCACGCACGCACGCACGCACGCACGCACACACACACACATATATGTGTATGTATATATATATATATGTATATATATATATATATTTATATATATATATATATATATATTTATATATATATATATATATATATATATATATATATATATATGTGTGTGTATGTGTATGTATATGTATAAGTATATGTATATGTGTATGTGTATGTGTATGTGTATGTGTATGTGTATGTGTATGTGTATGTGTATGTGTATGTGTATGTGTATGTGTATGTGTATGTGTATGTGTATGTATGTGTATGTGTATGTGTATGTGTATGTGTATGTGTATGTATATGTATATGTATATGTATATGTATATGTATATGTGTATGTGTATGTGTATGTGTATGTGTATGTGTATGTATATGTGTATATGTATATGTATATTGTATATTGTATATTGTATATTATATATATATATATATATATATATATATATATATATATATATATATATATATATATACATATACATATCCACATATGTAGACAGATAGATAGATATAGATAGACAGATAGATATATGTATATATGTATACACAAATTATTTGAAATATCATTTATATGCCAGATAACACAATCTGGCATATGCAGACAAAAATCCCATTTGTGCAACTTTGTGCCTCTTTTCATTAATTTACAATGGCAGAAAAAAAAAAAAAATTATCTTGCCCATGATACAGTTCCTTCTGCTTACAGAGAAATATATGAAGAAAAATACTCTTCCATACAATTTTTTTTCTTTTTACTTTGCATGTATGTATAGTTGTAGATAAATAATGTATGCAGGAATGGATATGAGTAAGAAAGTCTGAATGCTGGTATGTAACAGAATAAATAGCAGGAAAGGGAGTAATTCGTCAAATAGCATGAGAGCAAATAGCAGGAAAAGGAAGTAATTAATCACACAGTACTATCCGCATCAGCAGTAGAAAAACATTCAGTGTAGCCTTAACTAAAAAGCACTGTAGTAGTAAAAATATTTACTAGTAGCAGTTGCAGTAGTTGTTGTCATTGATATAATAGTTGTAGCATTTTTTTTATAGCAGTGGTTGTGTTAGTAGTGGCAGTTGTTAAATCAGCTGTAGTAATGAAGGTACTGAATGTGTAAAGAGAGGTGAATTTGAAAAGGATTCAATTACAATAATAATCAAAATATTGCAATGACTGAACAAAATCAATTTTTGAAATTCGTTTTCAAAACTACTAATGTTAATTTGGTAAAGGAACATATATATATGATGAAGCTTACTTCACCTCTACTAAAGGACTGTCTCATCTCGTTCCTATACCATAACAGCTTTCCACACTATCACACAGAACTTTACTACATTTAAAAGGAATACAGATTATCTCTTCCTATTTGAAAGTCTGCCGTGTTATTCAGCTATTATACATGATATGTAGGAGAAATGAGCAATAAGATCCTATCTTCTCAAGTTTTGGAAAAGAGCATTATCTTTTTTTGAGTAATTTTTACAAGCTTACAAGCCATCTTATACTATAGACTGCAGTGGTACTTTTGAAAATTACTTTAACACAACCCTTCAATTCAGAACCGTAAAACCATACAACTACATGACAAAAGATAGTAATAAATATAATAATGTTCTATTCAGAATTTCTGATTCTGATACTTGACTCCTTTATATCTCTGAGTAAAGAGAGAGAGAGAGAGAGAGAGAGAGAGAGAGAGAGAGAGAGAGAGAGAGAGAGAGAGAGAGAGAGAGAGAGAGAGAGAGAGAGAGAGAGAGAGAGAGAGAGAGAGAGAGAGAGAGAGAGAGAGAGAGAGAGAAAGAAAGAAAGAAAGAAAAAGAAAAGAAAGAAAAAAGAAAGAAAAAAGAAAGAAAAAAGAAAGAAAGAAAGAAAGAAAGAAAGAAAGAAAGAAGAAAGAAAGACAGAGAGAAAGAGAGAAAGTTAAATGTTTTAATAATCCAGCATTCCACTGTCAGCTTATAATCTTTATTTATATTCTTTCTGGACAATATGTATTTTGTGAGCATGTAAATAAGCTATTAAGTAGGTCTATCCACATAATTACACTTGGTGCCCCTAATTATTAGTATCTGGATTCTTTTCAACAAAACCTTTGCACTTATCTCCTTTCACTATATGCCCTGAGACTAAAGCTCTATAAACATAAATATAAAATGTGTCACCATATATCACAACTAAATATGCATATATTTAATGCAAATTGGAACAAGTTTCTTATGAAGTCTAATTTTGCAATAAAAAGCTATTCAGTTACACCTAAAATACTCTAAAATACTGAACAAATATGAAGCAAATATCTCTCTACATATTTTTCATATTCACTTATTAGATTTCGATTGACGGGGTTGCCACAAGGGGATAAATTTCACAATATTTTCTACAATCTACACACAATTCCAAGAATCAACTAGCATATAGAGAATTATTTTTTCTGGGGGAAAAACTTGAACTGGAATTCTGAGAAAAAAAAAAATGGTAACAAATAGGATTTTTTTAGTATCATTCACATTTTCACCCTTGGTACATTATCATCATTATCATATGATTTACAAATATAATAAAAGCAATGAAAAGTATTCTTTTAAATATTTATAAGAAAGGCCCCACTGATTTTAGTTGAGTGTAAATATAAAATAACCCAGAACTAGTATTGTGTACAAATGCTAAATTCTATAACCTACAGAAAATGTGCACAATATTTTGTACAGATTAAAGAAAGAAGAAGAAAATTTATCCCTATGTGACAACTCCTTTGCACATGCATCCCTTCACAATACCTTTCAGGACATACAATCACAGGTAGCTATAGGAAGAGAGATGCCTGGTCCAGTAAAATGACAGCCCAGCCCAGCCCAGCCCAGCCCAGCCCAGCCCAGCCCAGCCAAGCCAAAAAAAAAAAAAAAAAAAGAAAAGAAAGAAAGAAAGAAAAGCTCCATGTGGCAAACTCAAGCACCTGGAGAATTTGAATAAAGACTAAAATCTGTAGAACCACTACATCAATCAGGCAATTATTTGTTATCACTTTAATTCTCCGAGGAACTTTCGTTTTATGCTCGGAACTTTTATGACCCGACACTCATCTTTACTGGACGAGGTACATCAGTTGGTATAGCTACCCTAATCCAAAAAAAAAAAGAATATCGGTGATGAAAAGAACAACTGCTGAAAAGTTGATCAATATCAAAACTATACGAACAATAAAAGTAATGATGATGATTATCTTCCCTGTGCTATAAATACATAACTATTAATTACTATACTCTTCTTCAGCCAAGGAAATTTCTCTTCCCTTCCTTGATAAAAATAGATACACAAGGTTAAAGCATTGATATCATATCACAAAGAGTTAAACTACACAATTAAAATCACTTGTTTTGATCCTTAAGTCTAATGTAACTGGAAGTGCTATATATTATGCCATTATTATAAATATATACCTATACAAGAGATTTCTCAATAACTTGGAGAAGGAAAGCAACAGCTGTATTCAGACAACTATAATTTACAACAATATATCTCATATATCTTTATCATTCATCCAATGCTCTCCCAGGATAAAAAACCAAGACGCGCTTAAAAATACATCGCTTGCTGCATGAATAAAGAGGCAAGAGTAAGGAGTCCCAACATTATCTTCCCAGTCAGATAAGGTTCCATTAATCTGTACCCCAAAGAATGATGCGTCGGTCTTCACTGACAGTTACAAGGTGTTGGTTATCAGGAGATATAGCCAAACATGTCACTGGACCTGTAAATAAATATAGTGTTATTTCAGAGGTGGAGGAGGAGGAGGAGGAGGAGGAGGAGGAGGAGGAGGAGGAGGAGGAGGAGGAGGAAAAGAAGAAGAAGAAGAGCAAAAGAAGAAGAAGAAGAAGAAGAAAAAAAAAGAAGGAGGAGGAGGACAAGGAGGCAAAGGAGAAGAAGGAAAAGGAAATGGATTATATTCCATGTGATCCTCCAAACATATTCATTCTATTTACTTTGACGAGCCTCACATTTGCTCGTTATTTTGGATATTTCTTGATGACTTATTAAGTATGCTACTCCATTTACCCACCATCCCTGCACTTAAACATTCCAACAGAAATAAAATCTGAATAGATAAAATCACACCTCACCCCTTGACAAATTTCTCTTTTCAGCTAATGATTCAATGAAGATAAACCTTAACAAGAACACCAACCAGTGTGAGAAGTCAGCCTCTTGATCACAGCACCAGTTCCCATGTCAAACACAATGACATCGCCGCTAACACTTCCACCTATCACCAGCCGTCCTTCCCATGCAACGCACCTGTCAGATTGTGTAATTAGTGTCAAATGCTTAATAAATGACAGGTTGGTTTTACAACACAATAATATATTCTATTGGAATCAGTTGGCTCATGCAACGAATACAGTTATGTGAGGACTGCTCATCAATCTGTACAAAATGACTGAAATTTACCTTTAACTTTATTATTAGTAATATTAGTGATTCATCTTAACCCATTGCTTCTGGATGTAGTTTTATACATTCAATATTCATCTTTTCTTTCTTTCTTTTTTTTTCCAACTATGCATGCACTCTTGTACTCACTGTAGCACTCACACGCACACACACATTCACACACTTTACACTCAAGGACACACACATCTAGACAATGTCAACCTCCGACTGTGACACCGTAGAAAATGTTATAACGATGTGCTGAATTTCCCTTTGGCTCTTTTTTTTACATGATTAATTCCATAGTTCTTTAAAAAAAGGAAGGAATGATGAAGTAGAAAAGAAAAACTTGCCTTATATTTTCTTGCAAATCATGGATACAAATCTTGTTGCCTTGATGAGCATCTACAATCGTCAAGAGTCCATCATCCCCAGCTGTTAACACTCTGTCCTCGTTGTCACTCCAGGCTATTGCATTTACGCTGCTGGTGTGACCTAAATGAGAAATTCTGTTTTAAAGATTTTCTATCACATGAGATACTATGATTTAGTATTATATTTTGCTGTAATTAAACATATCTATGGATACCATGTTATAAAAAGTGTATATATAATAAAATAAATATAAATGATGTCAAATTTCCTCATCTTTTCATGGCAACTAATTGACTGAACATCATGTATAAATTCAGACTTTAGTAATTTATCCTGTACCTTATTTTCTCATGATCAATTACTTCAATGTTTAAGTAATGAAAAACAAAAATTTAGCTTCCCTTCACTTCTTTCCCCCCTTTAGAGTGTTCCCCTTAACTTATTATAATGGCCTCATATTCAATGTTTTGGCATGAAATATGTCTTTACAGTAAATAGAAGGTTAACAAAAAATAGTATATTCAAAAACCTAAAAACAGCAATGCTACATGACACTTAGAAAATCTGGAAAGAGGAGGAAAACAAGGAAGAGAGAGAAAAGGAAGAAGAAAACAAGAAAAAGAAGTGCCTCCCAAATAATCCAATACAAAAAATGTATACGTACAACTAATTTGGTGTACCAAGTCACCAGCTGGAAGGAGCCACACAGCCAGGGTGCCATCCTGTGTGCCTGAGGCTAAGAGGGAGCCAGCAGGATGAAGGGCCACACACGTCACTGGGGAGTCATGGTCCATCTCACACAGGATGTTCTCCCCAGCGGACATTGAGCCTCCTTTTCCTCTCCCGTTATTGTCTCTCTCTTTTCTCTGAGCATTTCCATTGGCTCCAATTTCTAGTGACCATGTGCGTACAGTACAGTCCCAGGAGCCTGAAGTTAAAAGGATTTGCATTATTTTGGGGTATCAAAGAGAATGCAATAAATATCACAGACACACATTAATAAAAACAATAAATTATGCATATACAATCACATAAGCATGTTTAAACATACACATGCACATGCACACACAAACGCACACAGTTATATCTATATTATGTATATATATGAAAGTGATGCATATAGACATTCAAATCTGCTGTATTATGTATATGTGCTGAGCCTGCATTTACTCTCTAATAATAAAAATCCATGCATGATATTCACATTTGAGTTCCAGACTTGTAATTAGTAACTGAAAACAAAAATGAGCATATATACAAGGCAAAACTGACCAGTCACAAGGACATCCTGGTTCCATTGCATGCACGACACAGCATCACAATGTGCCTCCAACAAAGGATGGACCTGGCTGAATTCTAAGCTGTACTTGTATCTGGAATACAAAAATCAAAATAGTGGCTCAGTCTGTGTAAAAATGCATAATATAAATTCAAACACATATTAACAGATTTATAACAAAATAAGATTTATAACAAAATACTTCCAAATCAAGTGCAGAATCTGTGTATCAGTACATATGATTAGAAAGTCATTTAATTCAATATCATAGTTATATTCTTTGATCATAATACACTATCATCGTTCTACAATCATCTACTAAGCCACTTCTACAATCCAATATATAATGGTTTAGTCATTTAATTCAACATCATAGTTATATTCTTTGATCATAATACACTATCATCGTTCTACAATCATCTACTAAGCCACTTCTACAATCCAATATATAATGGTTTTATGAATCAAGAGTAAGCAAACTCTTTCATCTACATTTTACAAAACTTAACAAAGCTTTTCATTCACTGTCCCTGCAAATACTTACACAGTATTGTCCCAAGAGCCCACCAGCACTGTGTCTGTCCCTGGAAGGTGTAGGCAAGACGAGGCTGCCATTGAGCTAATCCGCACACTTCTTACCTTCAGATTGTGGAAAACAAATTAATTTTTTCAGTGGATAAATATTGTTTTTTTTTCAATCATAATCCTAAGGGGTCGTCCATAATTTTCATTACCACGAGCGTACAAACCATACGCGGGGGGGGGAGGGGGTAAAAGGTCCCACATACACTTTTTTGAATATGAAAAATGATGATCAGTCAATGCACAAATTGGTTATGAAAACAACAGCTGTGCAATTTTATGCAGATTACATCATCGTTTAAAAAAAACATGAAATTAGACCACAGCCAATGAGACAAGATCTCTCGATGATATAATCTGTACTAAATTACAAAGCTGTTGTTTTCATTACCCTGATTGCAGGGAATGAAGGAAACCAAAACTATGGTCCTTACTGACACTCCTGGAGCCCCTGTGGCCCTGCATGATTTCCAGCTCACTTCACCAAAACAATGGCTGACCCAGATTCCGCTGTCTTGTTCGTGTTCGTGAATGCGAGAAATACTGCCATTCACAAGGCCCCAGCAAATGAATATGAGCAGTTCATACACGTATATTGTTTTGTACATTGGTACAAGAGGCGGTGAGAGCGGTACAAGCAGAATTGAAGGAATCCAAAGCAAATGTTTCAAGCCGTGTTGCACTGTGGAGGCAAGTGATCATTCGGATGGAACAAATGAAGTCCAACTCAAAACCCGTTATAGTGGAGGTTTAAATAGGAGCAGGGAGATCTCGATCCGTCATCATTTTTTGTCCACTGATGTACACTTTTGAGGGGGGGAGGGGGGTTTCTCAAAAGCGTACGGTTTGTACACCTGTGATAATGATGAAAATTATGGACGGCCCCTAAGTTGGTAGAGCTTTTTATGATTTTTTTTACATATACCCACAATATGTGCAAGTATGAAAGAGCAGGTTTTTGTGTAAGTATACCATGTTCACTAGTTTTGCCAAGTGTTTAGTAAAAGTTATGTATGATGTCATGATGCTCTAAATAGTGCATCCATTATGGTTGTCATCAGTCTTCACTGAGATGGTCCAGGTTAACACGTCCTTTTACATTTACCTACCTGTGCAAATTTTTAAATAAATGTCAGATTCAGTTTGAATAAAATAATGTAGGAACTTTGCAGAAAATTGGAATAAAAGAGAATAATCTAGAACTAAGGGGTTTCATCCATGACAGGTTTCCCCTTAATTAATTTTCAGAGCCAGGCTTCAACGTTAATTAAAAAAACAGTGGCATCGTGACATCACCCTGCATTCCAGCATGTGGAAAGACTTGGCATATCTGTAGTATTGATATGAGTGGAGGATATGAACACTGGTAAAGTTATATGTACTGCTAATAACACTGGTACTGGTAATGTCATAAATATTGGTATTAATGTTCATACTATTGTAGTTATTGGTACTGACTGGTTTTAGTGTTTATGTTAGCCTTGGGTAATGCCATTAATTTTGGCACCAATGTTGATATTGGTGCTATTATTGATACCAGTAACAGCACTTCTAATGGTACTAGTACTGCTGTTCTTTGGAGGTGTGCATGCATACAGTGTATAGTGTACAGAAGTGAGCATGAATATAATCTATTATGAATATTATCTTTTACACAATACCAATCATAGACAAAACTCCTAACAACCTCACCTGATTTAATTTTGGCAAGGTGTACATCTTCAGCAATGCATCTTGGCCAACTGAGAGGATATTCTGGCTGTCTGTTGTGAAGACCACTCCTGTGATGGCTTCTCTGTGAGCCCTACATTCCCGCAGTAATCTGAGGTCGGCCAAACGCTGCCAGAGACATGTGGAGCTAGGATTGAGGGCTTTATTCTCATTGTTCTCTGGAAATGTATAAAAAAAAAAAGGTTTATAATACTAAAATCTGCAATGTATTTCTATATTCACTTGCAAAGTGATAACTAATATATACTGCACAGATGCATTTGTTTTCTTCCGTTCAAGGGCAATACATTATTCTTCTATGTAACTATTAATGCAAAATTCACATATGGTTAATACTCATATATCCAATACTTCATAAACTACTACCTTAAAATTATAAGTAAAGTATGGTAACAACTCAAGTACAATGAATAAAGCAACAAGTTATACCACTATGTACATAGCATTTCCTATTTAACAGCTTTATACTTGAATATTTTCATCCCATATGCAAAAAACAATCTCCCCTAAAAGACAATATACCTGTTAACTGATCACCTCTACTGTTAGCTGCCTCTTAATCCATTTGACTCATCTGGCAAGAATACATGCCATGCCCATTGTAATACACACTTATTTATTGTATTTACACATAGATGGCTTCACAAGTTCTTAATCACCAAAGAGCCAGTTATCAGAACTACCTATCTCACCTGTTTACCCTTTTCTTTCACTTTAGGAAAGGGTCTTTTGTATCATTTCATTGTCTAAAATATATTTAATGACAATTTAATAATCATAACATCAATAACAATAATAACAGTATCAATAGCAATGGTATTAATAAGAAAAACACATTTTCCCACCAATTCAAGGAATGGGAAAATCAGGATGGGTAACTAGGGCCTACTGATAGACTCCTTGCCGACTGAGCACATGTGGATCCATCTGTATGTAACAAAATTCACCAAAAACTATAGGGGACAGAACATACATCCAGGGCGAACGGGTAAATCACTTACCCCCACTATCTGCTCGTTCTTCCTCTGCCTCACTGCAAATACTACTTTCTGAGATTCCGTTACTCAAATACATTGAGTCATAAACCCCAAAAGACCGCGATCTCTGGGGATGTGGCTTTGAGAAGAGCTGCTTTGGCACTTGTCCAAACTCAGTGATCTGGACCTCCAGGGCAAGCCGGTCATTCAGATCTGTGATGGCTGCCAGATCAACAGAGCCCTCATAGCAAAGATGGTAAAACACTGAAATAGCAAAACACACCATTATTACCATATCTGTACAAGTGCTTTGGATCCACCATAAAGAAAGGATGCAAGGTACATATCAAAGGTTATGTAAAGTATAGCCATTCCTTTTTATTATATTATATATAGTGTATACATCTATAAAAATTAGAAACTATAAAACACAGACAGATTATATTCACTTATATTCACTAGACAAAAGAACCAAAAGTATATCCATCAGAAAAAGGAAGTAAAATGGAGAAATGGCTTTACTAATGGGTATCTTAAAATGCGAATATGCTTACAGTTGTCAGCTTTTTCTGCTTCTTCCCCATTCTGCTTGTAGCCAAATATAAGATCAATCCACAGATGAAGATTCTGAGATACATATTCAGATTCAAGTGCATCTCGCATCGTCTTAATCACAGTTTCTGGTCCTGATGTGATTGAAGAGGAAAGATCTTATTAACAATATTCCAGGCATACCAGTCCTATCTGTGTGTGCATGCCTATTAGTGTGTGTGTGCATTGTGAGTGCATTTACCTATGCATGTCTTTGTGTAATTCCTACTGTAGTTTAGTGGTACAGTAAAGGCCAACCACTAATCACCATTCTATTCATTCACAGATTCTGCAACTTGCTTTTCAATATAAAGATAGAAATAATAAAATGTCAACAGTGTCCAGAGAATCTTGAAATTGATATAATATATGAGAAATGACTTCTTGCCTCGCATAATGGCATCAAAGGAGAATATACAATGCAATCATCAATATACAAATAAATCTCAACAAATACTATGAAAACCTATTCACAATTTTCTTCAATCTATTCTACAATACAATCACACATAGAAGAAGAAGAAGAAGAAGAAGAAGAAGAAGAAGAAAAGTTTTATAGAACAGTACACACACAGATACAAATGTCTCTACAGCATCAATGAAGGTCAATACAATAACATCCTGCACATTCTTACCTTTGGCCCAAGGGGGTAACTCCACATCCCCAACTGGTTTTCCATTTTGTCTCACTCCAAAGTTTATTTGCATGGAGTTTGTAAGGAAGTCCGCTGAGCCGTCCAAGTCATAGAACTCGGGGATTAATTCCTTGAAGTCTGAAGGATTTGTTGTGACATTGTACCAAGTGTCTGGTAGGCTGGGGATGATATGAATACTTTATTTCAATTAGGCCTATTACCTATTTCAATCATTTGTGCTGAGCGTGTATTGCAGAAATATATTCACTTAATGCCTTTTAATAATTAACATCAGAGAATTATCTGTCTAATAATGACTTCCTTCCTTCCTTCCTCTCCTCTCCTCTCCTCTCTCTCCTCTCCTCTCCTCTCTCTCCTCTCCTCTCCTCTCCTCTCCTCTCCTCTCCTCTCCTCTCTCTCCTCTCCTCTCCTCTCCTCTCCTCTCCTCTCCTCTCCTCTCTCTCCTCTCCTCTCCTCTCCTCTCCTCTCTCTCCTCTCCTCTCCTCTCCTCTCCTCTCCTCTCTCTCCTCTCCTCTCCTCTCTCTCCTCTCCTCTCCTCTCCTCTCCTCTCCTCTCCTCTCCTCTCCTCTCCTCTCCCCTCTCTCCTCTCCTCTCCTCTCCTCTCCTCTCCTCTCTCTCCTCTCCTCTCCTCTCCTCTCCTCTCTCTCCTCTCCTCTCTCTCCTCTCCTCTCCTCTCCTCTCCTCTCTCTCCTCTCCTCTCCTCTCCTCTCTCTCCTCTCCTCTCTCTCCTCTCCTCTCCTCTCCTCTCCTCTCCTCTCTCTCCTCTCCTCTCCTCTCCTCTCCTCTCCTCTCCTCTCCTCTCCTCTCTCTCCTCTCCTCTCTCTCCTCTCCTCTCTCTCCTCTCCTCTCCTCTCCTCTCCTCTCCTCTCTCTCCTCTCCTCTCTCTCCTCTCCTCTCCTCTCCTCTCTCTCCTCTCCTCTCCTCTCCTCTCCTCTCCTCTCCTCTCCTCTCCTCTCTCTCCTCTCCTCTCTCTCCTCTCCTCTCTCTCCTCTCCTCTCCTCTCCTCTCCTCTCCTCTCCTCTCCTCTCTCTCCTCTCCTCTCCTCTCCTCTCTCTCCTCTCCTCTCCTCTCCTCTCTCTCCTCTCCTCTCTCTCCTCTCCTCTCCTCTCCTCTCCTCTCTCTCCTCTCCTCTCCTCTCCTCTCCTCTCCTCTCCTCTCTCTCCTCTCCTCTCTCTCCTCTCCTCTCCTCTCCTCTCCTCTCCTCTCCTCTCCTCTCCTCTCCTCTCCTCTCTCTCCTCTCCTCTCCTCTCCTCTCTCTCCTCTCCTCTCTCTCCTCTCCTCTCTCTCCTCTCCTCTCCTCTCCTCTCCTCTCTCTCCTCTCCTCTCCTCTCCTCTCCTCTCCTCTCCTCTCCTCTCCTCTCCTCTCCTCTCCTTTCCACTCCTCTATTCCTCTCCTCTCCTCTCCTCTCCTACAAAACTTTGGGCCCACCAATCAGAACCCTCTAATAACACTTGTATCATAAATATTTGAACTTATTTACTGAAGTCAATGAATCTTACATTTATGGTAAATACAGCAATAGATGTCTTATATATAAGGAGTATATATATGCTGTGATATAAATCACTAAAATAAAACAACCAGTGAAAATGCAACCAAAGTTAGTTGCTGTGTACTCTATGGTAAAAATCTCTGTCTTAAATTGGTCTAGTCTTAACCCATTCGCGCCGGGCGTCACGTATACGTGACGGGCCCACTGTGAGTTTACTTGTTTGATTGTTTACAAGTATAGATGGCTCTACTTGCACTTGTACTGCCTGTCTCGTCTTTTCTTTAATTTATGAAATTATTTTGCGTTATCTTATTTTGCTGTTACTAATGTTTATAACATTATAGTAATTATAATGTTTATAATAAAAATAACCATCGATATTCATAGCACTAGTAAAAATACATTTTCCCGCCAAATGAAATCCGGTAAAGCAGAGCCATCTAGTGTAGAGAAATTTCATTAAAAAATATGAAAAATGAGCACAGCATTTCCCCCATTTTTTGTTCATTTTTACCCGGCGCGAATGGGTTAAGCTAAGGGTTAACAATTGAATGTAAGCAAACCTGTTGAACATGCGATCTGGATGATCAAAGCGTCCATTCTGAAGACACAGCATATACTGTGGGTACTGTCGCACTAAGTAAAATAGCACGAATCCAGGGGTAGAATAGTGAGAGCCATACAGGAATCTGGGTTCTGGCATGTCTTTACAGCGCTCCTGTTGTCATTTAAGAATCATTACATTAGAAAATATTGTACAAATATTCTATGTTGCTCTATAACTATTCCTACATCAGACACTGTCATATGAAGCTTCCCTTTTCATAGCTATAATGGATGTCCATTCATTTCTATAATCAGCCTATATTCTACTGCCACTAAGAAAGTCTACAATTATCCGAATCATATCAAAAAAAGAATAAATAAAAGAATTACACACACACAAAAACAAAACAAAACAAAAAAGCTGAAAAACTACAATAACTCAAACATCTATCTTAGTCTTACCTTTAGTCGCTTTAGTCGGCATTCATTGAGGGCTCCTACAGGCTTCGATAAATCCCTATATATAGCAGGATCTCCTAAGTCTAGGGATTCACTAACATAGTCTGCCAGTACCCACGGAAATACTGGATACTGTGTTAAATCATTAACACTACGATCTGCTTGGCTGGAAGAAAGAAATTGTTGGTGTAAGGATAAAATATACCTGAGCGTTCTTCTGTTTCAACAAACTGGAACTCAGATACTGATATATTTCTTTCTTATCTATTACTGTACTAAAATATCATAGGATCTGTACAAAGGAATATACATAAATCATCTTTAAATCCTAACTAGTTTAGTTTACCTAAGCTATCTTCTGTAAGGGTAACTGTATATATATATATATATTTGCATAAAGAAATGTCTTTTGAGGAAATTTAAGAAATATGACTATACCCACTGATTTCCCTCACCTATTTAGATAAGAGAGGTACTCAAAATTAGATATGGCTCCTGCTTGCCACTGATAGCTGATGTTGTCCTGTCGCATGTCATCAACACTAACATTCTCCTGGTGCATCAGGCATTCATACAGGTTATCTCTTTCTTCCGACTCCTGAAGAAGAAAACATACTGATTATAATACAAATATGTATAAACTGTTCTCAAACAGGGTTGGTTCCAAGTATGAGAACACTAAGCAGCAAATTTGGAGACCTCTACCATGATGGCAGTCATATAAAGAAAGAAAGAAAGAAAGAAAGAAAGAAAGAAAGAAAGAAAGAAAGAAAGAAAGAAAGAAAGAAAGAAAGAAAGAAAGAAAGAAAGAAAGAAAGAAAGAAAGAAAGAAAGAAAGAAAGAAAGAAAGAAAGAAAGAAAGAAAGAAAGAAAGAAAGAAAGAAAGAAAGAAAGAAAGAAAGAAAGAAAGAAAGAAAGAAAGAAAGAAAGAAAGAAAGAAAGAAAGAAAGAAAGAAAGAAAGAAAGAAAGAAAGAAAGAAAGAAAGAAAGAAAGAAAGAAAGAAAGAAAGAAAGAAAGAAAGAAAGAAAGAAAGAAAGAAAGAAAGAAAGAAAGAAAGAAAGAAAGAAAGAAAGAAAGAAAGAAAGAAAGAAAGAAAGAAAGAAAGAAAGAAAGAAAGAAAGAAAGAAAGAAAGAAAGAAAGAAAGAAAGAAAGAAAGAAAGAAAGAAAGAAAGAAAGAAAGAAAGAAAGAAAGAAAGAAAGAAAGAAAGAAAGAAAGAAAGAAAGAAAGAAAGAAAGAAAGAAAGAAAGAAAGAAAGAAAGAAAGAAAGAAAGAAAGAAAGAAAGAAAGAAAGAAAGAAAGAAAGAAAGAAAGAAAGAAAGAAAGAAAGAAAGAAAGAAAGAAAGAAAGAAAGAAAGAAAGAAAGAAAGAAAGAAAGAAAGAAAGAAAGAAAGAAAGAAAGAAAGAAAGAAAGAAAGAAAGAAAGAAAGAAAGAAAGAAAGAAAGAAAGAAAGAAAGAAAGAAAGAAAGAAAGAAAGAAAGAAAGAAAGAAAGAAAGAAAGAAAGAAAGAAAGAAAGAAAGAAAGAAAGAAAGAAAGAAAGAAAGAAAGAAAGAAAGAAAGAAAGAAAGAAAGAAAGAAAGAAAGAAAGAAAGAAAGAAAGAAAGAAAGAAAGAAAGAAAGAAAGAAAGAAAGAAAGAAAGAAAGAAAGAAAGAAAGAAAGAAAGAAAGAAAGAAAGAAAGAAAGAAAGAAAGAAAGAAAGAAAGAAAGAAAGAAAGAAAGAAAGAAAGAAAGAAAGAAAGAAAGAAAGAAAGAAAGAAAGAAAGAAAGAAAGAAAGAAAGAAAGAAAGAAAGAAAGAAAGAAAGAAAGAAAGAAAGAAAGAAAGAAAGAAAGAAAGAAAGAAAGAAAGAAAGAAAGAAAGAAAGAAAGAAAGAAAGAAAGAAAGAAAGAAAGAAAGAAAGAAAGAAAGAAAGAAAGAAAGAAAGAAAGAAAGAAAGAAAGAAAGAAAGAAAGAAAGAAAGAAAGAAAGAAAGAAAGAAAGAAAGAAAGAAAGAAAGAAAGAAAGAAAGAAAGAAAGAAAGAAAGAAAGAAAGAAAGAAAGAAAGAAAGAAAGAAAGAAAGAAAGAAAGAAAGAAAGAAAGAAAGAAAGAAAGAAAGAAAGAAAGAAAGAAAGAAAGAAAGAAAGAAAGAAAGAAAGAAAGAAAGAAAGAAAGAAAGAAAGAAAGAAAGAAAGAAAGAAAGAAAGAAAGAAAGAAAGAAAGAAAGAAAGAAAGAAAGAAAGAAAGAAAGAAAGAAAGAAAGAAAGAAAGAAAGAAAGAAAGAAAGAAAGAAAGAAAGAAAGAAAGAAAGAAAGAAAGAAAGAAAGAAAGAAAGAAAGAAAGAAAGAAAGAAAGAAAGAAAGAAAGAAAGAAAGAAAGAAAGAAAGAAAGAAAGAAAGAAAGAAAGAAAGAAAGAAAGAAAGAAAGAAAGAAAGAAAGAAAGAAAGAAAGAAAGAAAGAAAGAAAGAAAGAAAGAAAGAAAGAAAGAAAGAAAGAAAGAAAGAAAGAAAGAAAGAAAGAAAGAAAGAAAGAAAGAAAGAAAGAAAGAAAGAAAGAAAGAAAGAAAGAAAGAAAGAAAGAAAGAAAGAAAGAAAGAAAGAAAGAAAGAAAGAAAGAAAGAAAGAAAGAAAGAAAGAAAGAAAGAAAGAAAGAAAGAAAGAAAGAAAGAAAGAAAGAAAGAAAGAAAGAAAGAAAGAAAGAAAGAAAGAAAGAAAGAAAGAAAGAAAGAAAGAAAGAAAGAAAGAAAGAAAGAAAGAAAGAAAGAAAGAAAGAAAGAAAGAAAGAAAGAAAGAAAGAAAGAAAGAAAGAAAGAAAGAAAGAAAGAAAGAAAGAAAGAAAGAAAGAAAGAAAGAAAGAAAGAAAGAAAGAAAGAAAGAAAGAAAGAAAGAAAGAAAGAAAGAAAGAAAGAAAGAAAGAAAGAAAGAAAGAAAGAAAGAAAGAAAGAAAGAAAGAAAGAAAGAAAGAAAGAAAGAAAGAAAGAAAGAAAGAAAGAAAGAAAGAAAGAAAGAAAGAAAAAAATTACTAAGCCTAGTTTACCTAAGCTATCTTCTGTAAGGATAACTGTATATATATATATTTGCATAAAGAAATGTCCTTTGAGAAAATTTAAGAAATATGACTATACCACTGATTTCCCTCACCTATTTAGATAAGAGAGGTACTCAAAATTAGATATGGCTCCTGCTTGCCACTGATAGCTGATGTTGTCCTGTCGCATGTCATCCACACTAACATTCTCCTGGTGCATCAGGCATTCATACAGGTTATCTCTTTCTTCCGACTCCTGAAGAAGAAAACATACTGATTATAATACAAATATGTATAAACTGTTCACAAACAGGGTTGGTTCCAAGTATGAGAACACTAAGCAGCAAATTTGGAGACCTCTACCATGATGGCAGTCATATAAAGAATGTAATATTTTGTTAACTGGCTGTGACATGAAAAACAATAATCAAAAGTCCCCAATTCAACTTCTAAATAAAGTAATGAGCCAGTCAAATGAAAAAAAAAAAAAAAGATTAAGGATTAAAGAAACATTTAGCACTTTACTGGAAGGAAGGAACAAAGAAAAGAAAGAAAGAAAGAAAGAAAAAAAGTAGGGGGAGGGATATCATACTTGACAATAAATCCAGAGAGTGTTAATAGCCCAATATCCCTAAGGAATGAACCAGAATAAAGGCGCATTTTATAGGGGAAAACATTTCAAACTTTTAAAACTTTTTGTTCCTTCCTGTTTTTGACGGAACTTCTTGGTCAGATATCTTGGTTTGGCTTCATACCCAAACATAGCATTTACATATAGTCTCAATTCATTGGTATCATGGGTGTATATAAATCTCCAACATGATTGACATAAATTTATGATCAAAATGAAACCCTGCTAATAATCTACTTATTTAAACTACCAAATTCTCATCACGTCTGTGCTGACCAGAAGCATTAACTGAAGTATACTAACAGCTTTATTATTCTCAAGAAGATAAGCACCAAATACTTATATTTGCATCATGGCCATGGTATTTAAATTTGCCTTTATTGATATCATTCTGAATTCTCAAATCTAAAAAATCAATCTCTGTTGCTACTAGCAGATATTATCCTTTTACAAAAGGGTTCTAAATTGTGTGAAAGTAATTTGCCATTTTTCTAGTCTTTGTTAACCTTTTATGCTTCATAATATCTCAGTGAATTATTCTTTATTTCTATCTTATATCCTTCATGATCTTCAGTTAATACTAAATCAAGGTGAGAAAATATTTCTCCTCATTAAATTCATTATCACTACAAATACCCAAGACCATTCTGTTTTCTCCATGTTTAACCCACTCACAACAGGTGCCTCTGAGTGAAATACCCCCTAATTTCCAGCTGGTAGCCCATGCATGAGGAACACACAATGGGCAACCTAATCAGAGGAAGCCAAGACCATGTGTTTCTGACCACTGAGACGCTGATCACTGCTGGGTTTATACTCTCATCCACTACAAAGGGAACGAAGTCATCACATCATTGAGGCTCTGTTTACAGTGATAGCAAACCATGTGTTGTGACTATTTTTGACAAATTCAGCTAGATGAAGCAAGCCTAATAATAGCTTGCTTATTTTTATTATCAAAAATGCACCTTAAACTGAATTCTCCCTCAACAAACAACCCTTGTTAAGTTAGCACCCCAGGTTATGTTGCGAGGCTACCTAGGACAATTAAGGACCAACCTAGTATCTGGCTAGCATAAATAGAAGATGGAAAACTCTGGTTTACAACCTATAACCATGATGTCAAATAGGTGCCATCACACTCAAGGTAAAGCAACAAATTAATAACTGCTGCACAAATCTTTTATCTCCTCTTTTCCATCTCCCAACCTTATTCATGTTCAAACTTCACATCAAAACATTTTCTTACATTCACCATTCATCAAAGGAATAAAGTTTGAAGAAGAAGAAGAAGAAGAAGAAGAAGAAGAAGAAGAAGGAGAAGGAAAGAAAATAAATAAAAATCAGAGCTCAAGTACAGAACAAGAGGACTTTAATACTTACAACTTGCCGTAGTAAGAAGCGTCGTTTGATGACTTGTCTTATCTCATGCAGACCAATTCTTATGACTGGAAACTGGATCATGAAAAATCACTCTATGAGTGCATATTACACATTTACATTTTACTACCATTTAAGAGAAATGGAGGTATTTTCTTTAGAAATACACATAAGTAAGTATAAGAAAACAACTTGACAAAATAATTTCCAAATAATATCAGAGATTCACAGAAGAATTGCAACTGCTCATTCATAATACCATTTACAATAGAGAATCCCAACATTGTAACATAGAAGATAAATAAATATAAAATCACCTTTTCAGCATTATTGTGCGGCTGGAAATAAAGCGTCGAAGTTGTAAGCAGAACCGTCCCAGGATTGGTCACAAGGGGCGTGACCTTGTTTGCCTGGCTCTCCAACACAACAGTTTCCGAGATGTCTTCGAGCAATGATCGGTCAAACTTTTTTCTTCTCTGCCTTGACCTTACAATGGCTTGAATCTGTAGAATAATGCTCTTTATCAATATCTCTACAGCATACATACACATTTTGTTATATTTTAGTTATATAATTATGTAGCTAAAACATCCATTTAATTACGTAAACATTGAAGTACAAATGTTAAAGATTTACAACCTATGTAATACAGAAGAAACTCTACAATGTGACTGCATATCAAATTAAATCTAAATAATGAATTATGGGACACAACTTCTTTTTTTCTTTTTTTCCCTTATGAGGCATGAGAAGTAATGGGAAAAGTTACAGATCAAAGCTGTTAGTTGAAATACCAAATAAAAGTGTAAAAAAACAAAAGAACATATGACATGAGGGAATGCCAACAAGATATAGGGGGGAGGGAAGGAAGAGATACCAGTCCTTGGGCAATTCAGGGAAATTTTCCTTTTTAGTTCTTTTTCAAAGGTGAGTTGCACAACTTATAATTTGAGTCAACACTATCTGGGAAGTAGTATTTATGCACTTTGCCTAAGTGCTACTACACATCAGACACCAGGCATTCATATTTTAAAATCTTTATTGGAGCAGTACACTTTTTACTCTCAAATGCTTAAAAACTTACAAAATAATACTAAAACAGAAAAAATAATAACAACATAAATGGTCCTACCATTGTATTTTGGTCATTTGGTGGCAAAGTTGAAGCTCTCTGCAGCTGACACACTTGCGGCAAAACAGTTGAAGCCTTCACGTACACCAGTTCAAAAGTGTGACTGTGAACCTCCTGTGAATAAAGGCAGATAGTTAGCTCATAAGATGAGAAATATCAACCCAGTCACTAATCATTTAACTCATGTAGCTATATATAAACCTTAACCCATTAAGCCTGGATAACACAACCATAATGTTACAAAAATAAATTTGGTTGAGGGGTTGCTAAAGAGAATATGCGGTCATGAAAAAATTTGTCTGAGGGCCAGGGTGACGGGAATATGTTCTTGGAGAAAGATAAGACTCAGAGGCTTTTAGGAATGCTCTCTTGCATTATTTCCATCAGTAAACATAGGTGGAATATACCATCCATGAGCTGTGACTGAAAGAAGGCTGGCTCCAGGGAACACACAATTCCCATGCAAAGGATCCTATTCCTTCCCACCATGACCTGCAGTGCAGGATGTTTTAAATAAAATAAAATAGTATGAAAATATAAACAAATGAAAGATACAACATAATGCCACTTATGTTATTGTTACTGCTGAGAGATGTAGACTACCTAGAGAGATAATGCGGAGTATGCTAAAGGGAAACAGTTTATTTCCATCTTGACACAGCATATGTTAACAA